TATATATATATATATATATATATTTCTTAGCTTAGCAGGACTGATAATCCCTGTCTGGTCAATGATGCATGCTTGTTTTTCCTAATTCAAGTTGGACAATAAATTAAACTATTTGGACGTCCTTGAAGAACCATTTTTTTCTGCTTTAATAATAATCTTCTCAAACAGGCTTCTTGAGGTCAACATCAAATTAGGATTTGTGCTCATCTTTTTATTTGGGGTCTCTGACCTGAGAATGAGGGTTTTATCGGGCTGAGGCAGGAGATGAAAGCAAGCTAAGAAGCTTTTGATGTCTTTAGATATACAGTATAAGACAGCAGATACTGTGCCTTCTCATGCCAGGCTGTAAGTATCTGTAACACACGGGCATCACCATTCTTTTAGATGTTCTCCTGAGAGATGCCTTCTTGATGCTCTAAATATTATCAGTCCAAACTTTAATCACACTCAAGTACTTTGTGAAAATCATTGTCCTATAAAATCTATAACCAGTGACTGCTCCCTACATTTCCAAATTCTCAACATTTCATTCAACAAATTTAATAAAATATATATATATAACTTTTGCGTACTTGAGTTATTTACCATTTCATTAACTTGGCAACTATAGGGACGTAACAATCCACATTGATATATTGACAAACTGAGGATAAAGCTGGGATTATGTCAAAACTGGTTAACATGACYTAAGCACATTTTCAGATTCCTGAATTTTAATCTACATTTACCTGGATCATTCTGATATCATGAGCGGTTCCACAGATCTGGCTTAATTTTTCTTGTTAATCAGGATAGCCCATTAAGATCTGTTTTGAATTTTATTTGTATGTTATTCTAATGAGAAATTTTGATGTCATTTTAAAGAAGACATATCAAATATTTGGATATTGAGATTTCCCAGCTGGAAAGAAACAAAAGCTTTGCTAGCTAACAGAGAAAAAAAAAATAAATAGATAAAAGCATTTTAGCTCAAAATCTTTTTTGTAGCTACTGCTTAAAAAGGTGCCTAAAATTCATTAGGATTATATTTCAGATGGTTCATTTTAATTGTAAGATGCTATATTTTGATAAAATGCAATTATTGCAAACATTTTAATTAAAATACATCTGCCTAATTCTCCACCTTGGAACTTATGATGTGATGGGTCACAAATGATTAATAATCCAATCATATCAAGGAAAATTAAAAACGTTGATCAATATTGTCATCCTGTTGGATCAATATATCCCAATAAACATAATAATTGTGTTGTTGCATCATATCAATGCACTGGGGCTGTTTGCAGCTGAGTGTGAAGCGGTTGGGATGCAGGTCAGTTCCTCTAAATCTGAGGCCATGGTTCTCGACCGGAAAATGGTGGAATGCCCCCTCCGGGTCAGGGGAGAGCCTCTGCGTCAAGTGGAGGGGTTTACGTATCTGAGTGTCTTGTTCACGAGTGATGGTAGGATGGAGTGGGAGATGGATAGACGGTTTGGGGCATCATCCTCAGTAATGAGGGCGTTACTTTGATCAGTCGTGGTGAAGAAAGAGCTGAGTCGAAAGGCAAAGCTCTTGATTTACTGGTCTGTCTTCGTTCCATCCCTCACCTTCGGTCATGAGGCATGGATCATGACCAAAAGAACAAGATCACGGATACAGGCGGCCGAAATGAGCTTCCTTCATAGGATGGCCGGGCTCAGCCTTAGAGATAGGATGAGGAGCTCCATCATCCGGGTGGAGCTCGGAGTAGAGCCACTGCTTCTCCACATCGAAAGGAGTCAGTTGAGGTGGTTCAGGCATCTGATTAGGATGCCTCCTGGATGCCTCCCTTTAAAGGTGTTCCGGACACATCCCACTGGTAGGAGGCCCCGGGGAAGACCCAGGACTCATGAGTCCATTCTCATGCCCTCCGCGTCAAGGTATTGACGCTTGACCAAACATCATTATGTTGATGCCGGGGGTACCCCCCCACACACCCCCCCGCGCGCGCATCCATTCTGTACAAGATGGGGCGGAGGAGGACAATGTGTTTTTACCAGACTAGAATTGCGCGAAACTAACCATCCTAGACCCTAAGTGTAACTTCTACTAGCCTTATAGAGCCTAACCCTGACCACAGACTCTAAAGTTAACCATTAACCCTGATCGCTCATGTTAACCACAGACCCTAAAGTTAACCATTAATCCTGATTCCTCATGTTACCCTCAGACGTCACGCAAACCCGGAAAAGCCGCGGGCGGCAAGGACGGACCCCGCGCGCCAATATGTTACAAGTCTGACATGAGAACATGTTAGACTCACTGGAGGGATTATGTATCCTCTCTGGCCTGGGAATGCCTCAGAGTCCCCCAGGACGAGCAGGAAAGTGTCGCTGGGGAGAGGGATGTCTGGGTTTCTCTCCTGGGCCTGTTGCCTCCGCATCCCGACTACGGATAAGAAGATGGAGATGGAGAGAATATTGGAGTAAGTAGAAATTATCAAATAAGCATCTGCAGAAATATTAACATATGAAATGCAGCCTTTTGAATAGTGTTTTATTGAGTCTAAAAGTGTTGAATGTTTTTCAGACAGTGTTTAATGCAAATTATCTACACATTCTCACTCCCAACTCGTCACATATTGACGTTTAAGGTAAGGTTCCCTCTGCGTCTTATTTGGACGCAGAAGGTACCCCCCTCGCGTCACTCCTTGACGCCCRCGGCTTTTCCGGGTTGCGCCACCAGGGGGCTTTGGGGCGGGTGTCTGAGGTTAACATGAGGGATCGGGTTTAATGGTTAAGTTTAGGTACTGGGATCAGGGGTAGGATGTCCATGGTGAATATTAGGTCATTTTACGCTTTAGAACATGTTCACCTGAATTTCGTACATTTTCTAAAAATGGTTAATTTTACCTACTAGAGTCAGGGACAGGATGTCTAAAGTGAACTAAGGTAATTTCAGGCTTTGGAACGGTCGTTTTTGCGCATTTTATACACTTTCTGAACATATGACAACAGCTTCCGCCCCATCTCGTCAGTAACTGACGTGAGGGGGGTACCCCGCGCGTCAATATCGGACGTAGAGGGAACCTTGCAAAACGTCAATATGTGACGAGTTGGGAGTGAGAATGGGTTGAAATTATAAATCACCTCCTGATGGGCAGGAAATATAGATGGGGCTGTTAGGAACCTGAGAGAAAGAGGTGTAGATTTAAAATTGGTCAAAAGCAAAAATGAACCCGAGTGACAAAATCTCAATTAGTATATTCCCTCCAAGAGTTATGAGTTGCTTGCATAGTACTGGGGCTGTGTGAGGTGGCTGTGGATGAGCAAGTGTCCTTGTTGTTCTCTTTTTCCTGTTTGTAATCATGTACATTTTTTATGTCTTCATTGGCCTTTTTAAAGTGGATGTTTTATCATGGCAAGTTTGTTTTAGCATTTCAAACCACTGAGTCAAGTGGTTTTTATGCAAAGAAAACGAAAAGGTCCTATAAAATTTGCACCTAAGCACTTAAAATTCAAAGGCGATAAATGCAATTTAAGTATATGGAACTAAAGTGGAATTTGAGGAAAGTTTTATTTTCAGTCACTATCACATCTTCAGGGATGAAGCTATGAACTGGATGCGTGCCCTCTAGCTGCATACTACTGAGTGACTTCTGCATTCACATCTTGGGTTGTATCAGGAGGAATCAGGCTCCCCTTTGAACTAGACTGCCACAGACACACAGATGAGCTTGTTATTATAGCAACTCACCCAAATTTGCTGGGAAAGAGGGCCTGTCCCTCTGACATACTTCCTGTTCTTTGAAGAGGCCAACGGAGACATGGCTTTGGAGGGCCCCATTTCCAAGCTTTGCCTTTGATGCCTGTGAGAGTGGAGGTGGTGGCAGTTTAAGAGTCATCTCAAGGACATGATCCTCAAACCTCCCATCAGTCCTCATTTCTGTGGAATGAAGATATTTCACCCTGACACTTTATTAAATTGGAAAATAAATKAAGTAAATATCTGGCTTTTATTGAGGCATTTGTCAAATCCAGTGGAAAGGCATCTTTTACCCTTTTTTTTTTTGTGATTCCTTTGTGGTGACAAAAGCTTCACAATCTGGTAACATGACCTGATTTATGAAGGTGGGCTTGAATTATTGAACTAGACTGACTATAGGGAGCATCCTTGGTGGCCAATTCTGACATTTTCCACCATAAAACTAGATACGTACCCTAAGAAAAAAAATAAAAGG